TCCAATGTGCTCCGTCATGGTTTCCTTACACCATGTCATGGTTCCAAAAAAACAATCTTCTTTTGAGTTGCTAATAGCGATGGCCTCCAACCTGCTAGCTATCAGTTCTTTGGAAATCCTTTCACGACCAGTCACATGCCAGTGGCCCAGCGGCTATTCACCAACGCCAGGTTTGGAAGTCCACGACTGTCTACACTCGCCAGGCTCGCGCCCCTCACGTCCGTGCGAGTCTCAGGGATGCAAACGACATCTGCCACTTCGAAGCTCATCATGCGAGACCCACAGGGCGTCGGGGCGGGCCACGAAAGGGAGTGGGGCAATGGTGTGGTGTCTGTGGTGTGACCTTGCTTGCAGTGGAAGACGTGGTTCTATCGGCTTTGAGGTACATCTCCTGGAACCTGAGCTGATGATGTTCTTGCTGAGGGTGAGGGTACAAAAAAAATGCAACATTAGCTTGACCAGCAGGGTATGATAGAGATTGAAGAGGTCTGGGACCGTGAAGAGCAGGTCACAAATGTTGAGTTGAGGACATTTGAAGAGTCAGGGTGGCCTTTGTATTCATCGGACCTCTACAACTTCACTCAAAGTGCAACTCAACTTGAGCTTGTAGGGTGCGATCCTGGCGCATATTCACAGCCAGTTCAAATGCAGGAGCTTTATGGTATCGCCTTGCTGTTCACAAGAGCTAGGCCAGGTAGTCTTGGCGATGTTGCTTTGGTGTAGACCTTAGGATGGATACAGAAGGATACAAATACCTCCTTTCTCCTCCTTTTTACTTGCCACTCCCTGACGGGTTGATCCAAATATAACAGTTGAATAATACTGTAACATGTGTCTTTTTCACCGGGTCACATGATTGTCGGGTCATGAGCTAAAGCAGAAAAGCTGAGCACTGAGCCCAGGCTGCGGCGTGATGTTCGCTGGTCATCTGGTCATACCCCTGGTGGTCAACTCCTCCAAAAAAGCTCACTTGGTGGTCAGCTGGTGATCTCCTCCAATGAAGTAAGGCCAAGAACCAATCATTCACACCCCAAATAAAAGGTCAGGAGGTCAGGAGGTCGCCAGGGGCGAAGCCTGTTCTGCGGCCCCTGCCACTTATGCCACTGATCCGCTAACCCGTCCTGAAGGTTCAAGCAGTCCGGGGCCGTGATCCAGCTTGTGAAAAAGTGATAGTACTTTACAGCAAAAGATGATGTTGGTGAGGGTGTCATCCAGTGATCAAGTGCCCACAGCGCCCCCGAGTTCAATGCTGAATTCAGTGCAGTGTGGAGGTCTCCCTGTGCTTCAAATGAACCAACATCTTTCTTTTTCAGATGATTCCCTCCCTCCAATCATGGTTTCGTGGACACTCCCCCCTGCCTGGTATTCGGAAAATGCTCTTTCCAGGGGGTATTCGGGCGGTCACTTCCAGGATTGGACGGAGGCTACGTCATCACTACCTGGCTGACGGGGTTTCTGATGGAAAATGTGTCCCCGCCGGAGGTCGACGGTCGGTCGCCTGCGACATAGAGTAGACCGATGGCCAAACCAAAGGATTGACTCTTCTCCTGGCTTTTTGGTGGAAGGGGCAGTGTGCTTCCAGACTCTAAGACTCATGTGACCTCTAAGAGTACTCAAGTACTTATAGATTATGTGTATGTATATATTGTGTATTATGCAATTATACATACCATACTAGATTGAAGGGTGGACTTCGAGACTTGTCCATGTCATGTTGCCGTCCCCTGCGCCTGCAGAATCCAAATATATATTCTATATATATATTATATGTATAGTGGCTCCGCTGCCCACCAGTCTGGTGATGCAGCAAATCTATTGCTGATAATTTAATGGGTCATTCATGGTCTTTCTCAGCGATCACGGGCGCCCTTTCTTAGGGGGGGAAGAGTTTTCGAAAACACCAACTCGGCAGACTTGGCAAATTCTGTGGTTGCGAGCGCTTGCGCAGCTCGGTGGGCCCCTGGTAACTGAGTATGATCTACACCAAGTAGACCACAAGTAATTTGCCCCGGACATAACCTGAGGACAATCGGTCTAGGAGGGTTTACCAAGCTTGCAGTTGCAAGGAGTAACACCAGTGCCCTTGTTACAGAACCCCATGTTTAGACATTGTATGTTTTTGATATGTCAGGACAACCAGACCAACACCACGTCTTTACCAGACCGACCAAAAACTCGAGGCTGCAACCTTTAAACTCCCAAATCCCACCCCTTGGAGGTTAGGAGTGTCCCGCAGAGGGCCCGAGTAGTTCGCATCAAAAGGGGCGCAGAGTGGAGCCCCTAGTAGTGTCCGAACGCTCCGTTCGTAACGATGCCAGGAGCCCCTAGTAGGGTCTTTGCTCCTATTGCTTCCAAAAAAAAGAACCCACATCCATATTTGGTACGCAGACATGAGATGATGTTGCGGGGATTCATACTGTCCGCAAGTTATGGTGTCCTACTTGCCAAGGCATCGGGTGCAACCGACATGACCAACTGTCAAGAAAACCCCTGGCATAACCAACTCAGGTACAGGTCAACCTCGCTTCATTTCACGCTCGAGCAAAGACGAGTGGAGATGCAAGGAGATGCCAATCTGCTACGCTTTGGGGTTCTCACCTTCTCACCCAGCCGACTCAGCCATTGTTTTCGTGAGAGACTCGCTTTCAGGCCCATGCAGCCTGCCTTGGGGTTGTTGCGCTTGAGAACGAGGCAGCAGCTTGCAGCAAAACAAAGCACCGCAGTGTATAACCTGAAAGCCATGGAGCAAATGAATGGGGGGGGGAAACAGATCGAAAGAGTCTACGTATCATGGGATTCTGCTGGTGCTTTTTCAGATTCTTGGCTTTCAGAAACACCACTGCAGTTGCCCCAAGAACCCCCGAAAAAAAGAACACTAAACCGAAAGGAGAGCTGACCCACAAACATACACCACACACCCACACACCCAAACACCGCACACTTTTCAGGTCGTCAATAAAAGTAAAATAAAGTAAACTTTAAAGCTTTAAACAGTGTTAAACGTTACAGTAAACGAAAATTGGTCCTTCGCAAGTGGAGAAAAACTACAGTAACGATTCTTGAAACATCTTGAAAACTTCTAAGCAGTCCTTCACAACAGTCCTTAACACATAAACCGTCCAAACCATTCAAGTCCACCGTGGTGTTCTTGAGTCACCATCCAGTCCACTCGTGTTTTCCAAGTCACAACTCCAAGAACATCAGCAAGCTCCCAGGTAAAGGTGGATCATCCACCTCCATGGCGCTGCGGAAGGCCGAGCCCCCCACGCCGCACAAGCCCTTCAGCAAGGCTGAAGCGCAAAGGGCCGCGATGAATTGCGTGAGGCAAAAGCCCAGGCAACGATGACCCGGAATGACCTGAGTGGCTCCAAGTGGCTTGAAGTGCTTCGATTCTTGGTGTCGGTTTGTGTTTCTTCTTTTGGGGGTGCCGCACATGGTCTTCGATTCCGGGTGAAGGGTTTTGCGTCATTGCTGCTGCTGCTGTTGCTTTAGGTTACCAAGGGAAGCAATGCCAAGCTGTGAGGGTCACAGGGGATCACCCAACGATCACCTTGAGGCTAAGCTGTGGCCTTGGGGCTAAGCCTGATGTCTCACATCCTGCAGGATGCCGGACGGGGAATATTGAGGGCAGCCTGGAACAGCTGGATGAGCGTTGAGAATGCTATATAAGCGACTTGAAAGATTTGGACCCAGCTTAACATCTGCTCACCTTGGATTCTCAAATCTAAGATTAACTGTTGCTTTTCCGGATGTCCAACATAATTAAAGTATACCCAAATATCATTACGACACCGACGGCGGCCCGGACGCTCCGTTGCTTCGAGATGCGCCCAACAAGCTCAGAGCCATCGACCTCCAGTGGAAGAGGACTCGCCGTTCGGCGCCGAGAGATCCGGCAAGCGCGCGCGCGCGCGGTAAGACCGCAGTGGGAAGTCTGCTTTTTCTGGAGAGATTCGAGTTGCTTCACAGGTGAGGCATGGATTTTGGGCAACAAAGTCTACCTTGAGGTGGTGGGAGCGGACCTCGTGGTTCAGTCCATCAACAAAAAAGATATGGGACAGGCATGTTTCTGAGGGTGCAAGGAGGAGTACTCTCAGGCTGGCAGACCATCACCATCTTGCCCTGGTAAGACAGGCTCTTGACGAGATCCCAATTCTCAACAGCAGTCTACCCAGCTTCAATGAAAAGTGCCCACCCAGAAATGTCATTTTTCACCCAATAATAGCGAGGAAATCGCAAGCTCTGGGCACTCAGTGTACTTTCGCTCCTTGAAAGGCCAAGCGGCACAGCCGGGTTCAAGAAGCCCCCCTGAAACTGGGGCAGTGCTATAGATCATCACCTGCAAACAGCCAAGATGGTTCTCGGATGTGCTCGGTCAGTATGGTGCTTTCGAGCAGTCTACCCCGCTCAGGCACCTCTAGGTTCGGTCTACACAGGCAATCGACCGGTCTACGGGGGTCTCCCGGTCTTCCTGTTGAAGGACACACCGACAAAGCCAGGTCACGATGTAACCCGGTCTGTCCAACAAGTGGATGGTCACTCTTGGGAATCGACCACCGGGCATGTGTTCATGGGAATCGCCCACCCGATGTTTGAAGCATGGACCATTTCCGACCCATGAAGTGAGACTCGGATGTTCCTTCTCATATGATCTTGTTGAGGGGAGGTGAGCAGGAAGCGTCATGGAACGCCTAGAAACGTGCGATGAGTGCGATGAGGAAGAAACGTGCCTTTGGGTCTTCCTTCTGGAAGAGGGCAACACGTGCCTTTGCTTTCTGTGTGAACTACAAATAGGGCATGTAAAAAGGCTATCGGCTACTACGGGAAAACCACCGGTTTCTTTTTTAAGAAACTGGTGATCCCCAGGGCCCCAGGGCCATGCCATCCACTTCCATTTCCAGGGAGTGTACGAAAAGGATTGAATTGCTTCATAGAACTGCCCACATTCCATTGGATTGATGGGTGCCCTCGGGTTCCTGTGTGCTATCAGAAAGCACCGCGTCCGGACATCCAGCTTACCTTGCTTTGGCGGACACCCAAAAAACAACTCATGCACACCTCCTCCAAAAAGTAAGCTCCCCAAAAAACGGTTGTGTCAAACTTTGAAAAAAAAATAGCTCCTGACATGAAAACTTGAAGAAAACTAAAGAATCTCAGAATCTCCAGAATCTCCAGCCACTTCTTCAGAGAACGACTCCTTCACTTTCCCCCATTCCCCGACCGCGGGTTCCCCTCCGCAACCCGCGACCGTCGACCGGACCGACTCCGCACCGTCACGGTGCACGCCCATGCGGTGGGCTTCCATGGCACGTGCACGGTGGAAAGCGCCACACAGCCTCAGGGCGAGGACGAGGTTCCGACGTGACGTTCCCGGAACGTTGGACGCGTAACGCCGGGTCACGGGGGCATGGTGCGACGAGCGTGAAGCTCACGAGGGCATGACCACTATATAGTAGCAAGAAGCTACCTTCGTAACAAGGTTTTTTTCTGAAGCTTTGGACGGTTGGGGATGGTGAGATTTTGGCATTGATTCTGCGCGGGGAAGAGGAAAAAACAACTTAAGACATGGCCAGCACCAGCACCCTGTGATTATCACAAAACATCACAAAACCTATGCGAATGGCTGCACGTCTTGAGCCTGCAAACCTCTGATCCACATGAACGGCAATCAATTGATAGCCGATAGTCACCGATAGTCAAATGCCCTCCTCAAAACTGCAGAACTGTGCCGCACGTTGGCTGGATTAGAACCTTTAATCTACTGTATATAATCAGAAGTTCCTTAGCTGGAAACAAGTCTACGCTGATACTGTCAGTGCCCGAATTGCAGACTTTGGACTTTGGAATGCAAAGTCATTACCCTGTAGGCCCGCCAACGGTGTCCAAGTGTGACCCGGCATCGACGGTCCTCTTGAGAGAAAGGGCTGGATCTTGAATCAGAAAGGTCCGACGAATCACTTGAATGTTCACAGAGGTGACATTATCACGACATGTCATAAATGTTCAAGACAACGCATCACAGATCCTCTTCAACTCATGAAAATCATCCGCCACCATTAGCCACCAACCCTAACACACCATGCGCAGCACGGTGCACACGTGTGCAGTCTTCACAAAGACACCGAAGGTGAAGACTAGGATGAAGGTCCCAACAAACTCCGCAACCTTGGATGTGCACATGTCGCGAACTGCGCGACATGACGCGACCGTGGATGGCGAGTCACGGCGTCATTGAATCAGTACGGACGAGTCACGTCCAAAAAGGACCAACGAGTCAATCCGCTCACGGGACGAGTCCGGGACTCAGAGAAGAAAGCCCAGTTCCCGTGGGAATCTTAGAAGCTTGAGGATTCCAAGGAAGAACACAAAATCAATGGCTCCCACTCTTCACAGACTTCCTCAGATTTCCATGTGGCGCGGAGTTGAGTCTCCCCAAAGGACGCGTGTGACTAGAGTCCGAAGTCCCGCAACGTTCCCCGCCCGTGGAGGCAACGGAAGAGAAAACAAACAGGAGTTCACACTGTTCTTACTCGGTTCGCTTCCGTGAGAGGAAAATGGAAAATCACCAAACTGAGACTTGGTCTTGTTGTTCTCCAGTGACGCGACGTGATCACTTGTTGAAAAAACCAGGCATGAAGCGCACCAGCACACTGATCATGCGTTCCATGATCTCAACCAGAGGAGTCAAATGGAAAAGCGTCTAACGAAATCGAGAGTCACGTGTTCAGATGAGATGTGCTACAACATACTCATCAAAACCATCGACATTGTCCCAATGCGTGCCCAACGGAGTGGAGTTGACTTCAACTGAGTCTTAGGTCTTAGATGGTCTTAGATGGTCTTAGATGGTCTTAGATGGTCTTAGGTCTTTCGTTTCAAGGCCGAGCAAAACCACCCAATACCTCGACAGCGACACCTCGGAAGAAGGGAACACCGAATGGCCGCGACGACGAGAAACACAGTCCGGTCCCCCGCGGGTTCACCCGGCAGTGGGTGGGCGAGTTCCGGCGCAGCCTGATTTCAAAGGGTTCTGAAAAGGGTTCTGAGGTGTTTGAGTTGGAGATACGTGGCATTCTCTGCTCAAACACCTCTTAGTGGGTAGTAGACGACTAGACCACTGACCACCGCCATGTTTTTTTCGACGTTCTCGGTCCCTCCCGAGTTGTTTTGCTTCGCGCTTCTTCCTGGCCACATAGGGCGCCCACGGATGATCCCGCGCACCCTGGAGGTGTCCGAACATCGATGGGCGAAACGCGTCAGCCGAACACCTTTCAAGGCAGAGCAGAAGATTGTGTTCATCTTTCATCGTCTTTCATCTGTGGCACTTCAAAAAGGATAGATTGATTGAGCGTAATTGTTTCCAATCGCTTGCCAATCACACTGACGTTGCAGCTTCTTCACCACGGGAATACCCTTTTCGGCCTCGCAAAAAGAACGGACTATATTAACTTGAAAGGCCCAAAAAGCGGCGCTTCTGCGGTTCATCAGTCTGTTTAAGAAAGGGTTAATTTGTTGTCCATGTCTTCCATCCACGCCCTCCACGCCTCCTCTTCGCTGCAGGCGGACCCCGCCCGGTCGCTGCGGTCCGCGCCGGTCACGGCGCCGTAGCCGTAGCGGCCGACGAGCAGCGCGCCGTAGGCAGCGCCGGAGGCAAAGGTCACGGTGTCACCCTCGTCCATCCCAGACGAAGGTGTTCGTCTCGCGAGATGAGACGGGTCTCCCAAAAAAGACACCGGGCTGGCTTGATGCGGGATCCCGATGTTTTTGGGGGGTGCTGGGCTGGGTGCTGGAGAAAGAATGGCACAAAGAAAAGAGAGCCTTGCGTCTGCATGTTTCAAGAAAGGGTGGGCGGCTTCCTCTCAACCAAGCCATGTCAGACAGTGTGCTGTGGATGTCATCCATCGCTGGTCTATGGAGGTTCGGTACCTGAAGCTGCGGCGAGCAGGGGTCTCAACGCGCTGCCGCCGTGCCGGTACGACCTCACCATCAATTCATCCTCAGCGGCACCTCCTCATGCCAACATGTGCCAACCACCCGTGCGTGCTAAAGAATGGTGATATTTTTGGATTGTAGAGTCAGAGGAAAGCTGTCTTTCAATGACCGTACATCAGAGTTTCAGGTGTCAGGTTCATCTTTGGGCACAGTTCGTCTGTGTCATCGATGCATTTTGTGCATAAAAATAATAGTAACAATAATAGTAATAATAATAGAAGGTGCAAAATCCTGTTATAGTCATAGCTCACCAACAAGAGACTTTCAGGACCCTCCAGATTCCGGAACCCATGCCATTCTTGCCGCCGCAAGTAAGTGGCCAAGTATACAATTCAGAACACAACTCAAGATACACATGTTATATAATACAGTTCACATCGCCGGACCCAGGCTAACTCTGTGAATCTTGAAAATAACAAAAAATGCAAAAACAAAGCAAAAAAAAGCAACTACAAAAAGCAAAGTTAAAAAAAAAAAAAAAAAAAAAACTACAAAAAGAAAAAAAAAAAAAGCAAAAAAAAAAAAAAACAAATGAAAAAGCAAAATCAAAAAAAGAAAATCCAAAAAGCAAATGAAAAAGCAAAAAACAGCAAATACAAAAAGCAAAAAAATGCAAATGAAAAAGCAAAAGCACAAAAAAGCGAAAGCCATGTTCTGCGTCTTTGTTTTTCGCTTTTTTCCTGCTGTGTTTTCACTGTTTTTTCGCTGTTTTTGTTCGATGTGTTCATGTTTTTTTCGCGCTGTCTTCGCTTTTTGGTTGCCCGCATTTTCTCCGCGAGTTTCTTCGCATGGTTATCGGTTTTTTGATTGGTTTTTGCTGTTTTTGTATTTTTTCGCTTCTTTTTTCGGTTTTCTTTTTTC